GCGACGTCACGCTCGTCGTGCCCCGGCGGGGCGTGCTGCCCGTCATGGGCCCGTCGGGCAGCGGCAAGTCGACGCTGCTCGAGGTGCTCTCCGGCCGGCGGCGCGGCGGTTTCGCGAGCGGCGAGGCCCTCTTCGGCGGCTGGCCGCTGTCCGCGCACCGGCGGGGCACGGTCGCGTTCGCGCCGCAGGACTGCGCGGACCTGCTCGACGGCGGGCTCACGGCGCGCGAGACGCTCGACTTCGCCGCCGCGCTCCGCATGCTCGGCGCGCGCACCGCCGCGCGCGCGGCCCAGGTCGACCGCGTGCTCGACGCGCTCGAGCTGTCGCGGTGCGCGGCGTCGCGCTGCGCCGTGCTCTCGGGCGGCGAGCTCCGGCGCGTGTCCATCGGCGAGGAGCTCGTCGGCTCGCCCGCCGTCCTCCTCTGCGACGAGCCGACGACGGGCCTCGACAGCGCGACGGCGCTGTCCGCGCTCCGGGTCCTCGCGGGCCTGCCGGCCGCGCGCGACGTGACCGTCGCCTTCTCGCTGCACCAGCCGCCCTACGGCGCCTTCGAGCCCCTGGCCGGGGGCGGCCTCCTCGCCGACGTGCTCCTCCTGCGCGGCGGCGAGGTCGCCTACCAGGGCCCGGCGTCGCGCGCGCTCGGCGCCGTCCGCGGCGAGGCCGGCGACGGCCGGCGCCCGGGCGACGCGCCCAACGGCGCGGACGCCTGGCTCGCGTGCCTGCGCGACGACGCCGTCGCCTGCCGCGCCATCGCGGCCTTCGGCGCGACGGCGGAGGCGGAGGCCGTCGCCGCGGCCGTCGCCGCGGAGCGCGGCGCCGCGCGGCGGCCGCCACCGGGCGAGCGGCGCACGCCCGCGGCGCGCCACTGGCGGCGCCTCGCCGCCGTCGTCGCGCGCTACGCGCTGTCGACGCTGCGGCGGCGGCACCAGCTCGGCGTCCAGCTCGCGCAGTTCGCGCTCGTGGGCGTGCTCTACGGCGCGCTCAACCTCGGCACCGGCGGCGACGAGGGCGACTACGACGCGTACTGGGACCTCTGCAAGCTCATCTTCTTCGTCCAGCTCGTCGGCGCCGTCGGCACGGGGCCGACGCTCGTGCCGACGTTCGTCCGCAACATCGACCTGCTGCGGCGCGAGCGCGCGGCGGGCGCCGTGCCCGTGCTGGACCACTGCGCCGCGTCGCTCGTCGTCCACGGCGGCGTCCTCTTCGGCCTCGTCTTCTTCCTCGTGACGCCGGCCTACGCGCTCGCGGGCCTCGCGCCGACGGCCGACGCGCGCGCGGCCGCGCGGAAATCACCCACCGGTTCGGGGGGTCCCCGCCGAACTTCAGAATGCTCTATCTCGGTCAAATCGAAGTCGATTCGGCTGATTTTTGGACGAATCGAGTGCTCTCGTGACGTCCTCGAAGCACGGCGGAGGAGCTCGCGTCGAAGCTGTCGCACAAGCTCCCATTGAAGTCGGGTTGAAGATTTGATTTCCACACAGGTACGCGACCGCGTACGCGTCGACGTGGCTCGCGGCGGTCGGCGGCACGTCGCTCGCGGAGCTCGTCGCGTCGCTCGCGGGCGTCCGGGCCCTCGCGCTCGCCGTGCTGCCCCTCGTCGTCGTGCTGAGCCTCTGCCTCCCGGGCTACGCGCTGCCGCTCGGCGCGGTCCCGGAGTCCCCGCTCGGACGCGAACGCGCGACCCGACTCCGCCGCGCGCGCGCGCGACGGTCGCGACGCGAGGCTTTCCGCCGCGCGACGACCGCCGCCGACGCGTCCGAACGTCGGCCGCGTCGGCGCCGACGCGACTGCGCGCGAGACGTCCGGTCGCGTCCGCCCGACCCGGCGGTCGAACGCCGCGCAGGTTCGTTCCCCGAGTACTCGCTCCGCGGCTTCGACGCGCTCGGCCCGGACGCGCGGCGGCTCCTCATGTCGGTCTGGTACGGCCGCTGGACCTTCGAGGCCTGGGTCATCGCCCAGTTCGGCCACGGCTGGGGCGGCTACTCGCGGTCCGCGGCGCTCGACCGCTTCGACTTCCAGCACGGCGACGCGTCGCGGTCGCTCGCGTACGCGGCGCTCTGCGTCGCCGTCCTCCGCGCCGCCTGCTTCCTGGCGCTGGGCCGGCAGACGCGGTGCGTCGTCACCTGGCTGCCCCCCGGCAACGCCCTCGGCCGCGACGCGGCGCCCGGCGGCAAGCCCGGCGGCGCGCCCGGCGCGCCCGGCGCGGCCGCGGCCGCGCCGCGGCCGCCGCCGCGGGCCGGCGACGCCGGCCCGCCGCGCGTCGACATCGTCGTCCGGGCCCTCGAGTACGGCGTCGCCGGCGGCGCGGCGATCCTGGACCGCGCGTCGTGCGCGTTCGCCGGCGCGGCGTCGACGGCGATCATGGGCGGCTCCGGCGCGGGCAAGACGACGCTCCTCGCCGCCGTCGCCGGGCGGCTCCCGGGGGGAGACACGGCCGGCGGCGGCGCGACGGAGTGGCGCGGGGCCGGCGCCGTGCGCTTCGGCGGCGCGCCCGCCGCCGCGCCGCCGGGCGCCGCGCCGCGGCCGCCCGCGGGCGAGACCGTCGCGCTCTGCGCGCAGCACAGCGACGGCTACATCTGGGCTCACCGTCGGCGAGACG